CGATTTCATTGTTACAATTACGGCAAGGTCATAAAGCGAACACGCATTAACCTCAACATTAACAATCCCGAGTTTAAATCTACGAAACTTCTAGAAGTATACCCTTGTTTCTATTGTGACTCACTTCATCATGTTGTATATCAATAAAAAACCCTCTCTTTCGTAAAAGCATTGAATTTCTGTTTTAATTAATTATCACACTATATTGTAGTCATTATAAATCAACATGCTGTCACCTAATGGCGAGTTGAATCTATGTATCCGACTGATGGAGACCGATATTGATGAGAGATGCGTGATTTAACCATCATTCATTCACCTGTAGTTTGTCGAATTTATGAATTTAAAAAATTCCATGTCATTTTATGAATTCATCATGGTCGCTGTTTCAGGCCAGAAAATCTGTTGACAGTCATTTGACCCAGAATTGGAATATCTGCCTTTTGCAGAGATCCGTTTCAATTCCCTTTTCGATTCTTTTAATCCCGTTTCTTGTCATGGGTAATTCTCGTTGAGCATACTGTGAAACTTTGGTCAAATATTTGGATTCCAAGGAATTTTGATTTAATTATTCAAATCTGTGCAACTCCGTGAAACCAGGCAGCTAACAGGATACCGCCACGACATGAAGCGCATGTTGCACTCTTCCGGGTCAACGGATGTGCGAGTCATAGAGTCTACTGAGGATGTCAATGCTGCTGTCGAAAGGCGATCAGGAAAACTTTGGCAGGAAGAGTAGCAACGGAACAAGGAAGTTTTGGTGTAAGGAAAAAATTATTGTAAGGTAAAGATTCACACAGCAGGCACGACGGTTATTATGAAACTTTTTGAACACTCTTACGACGGTTCAGCCGCTGGCCAGCAGGTCCTCTTCAGAAAGCAGAATCATCTACACTACAGAAGAGACTTTCAGCTCTGAACCATAGATATTTCACATGCATTTCAACGTGCGTCATCATCATCCACGCAATGGATAATTTTTGCCTTGAGAAAAATGCTTTTGTACTGACTCGCTATATAAAATTCTCCTCTGTTAAACATACAAATCAATTCCATCGATGCTGCTAGAATGCCCCATTCTTCTGAGATACTGGAAAGGCAGCATTGTGCTCCACAGAGTGAACGTTTAGTTTGTAATAAGCCACCTGAGCATAGATGAGAATGCTTATCACACAGATGGCTCATTAGTACTTAATTTTTGTCCAAGTCACATTGTCCGCAAGTAAGTCAAATTTCCGGTGTATGGTGCACTGAATTGTCTTCAATATCAGTAGTTCTTCATTGCTTTGAAAAAAAGATCAATCCATTAAACTACTGTCGGTAGTAACTTCCTCTGTCCGCCCTGTTGTTAACTGACAGCAGTCCGTCACTGACTGATAGGCTCATTCAAGCGCAATCGATCGTAACATCACAGAAGTAACCGTGTGCCCGTTTCATGCCTCAATATCATGCAAATTAATTGCATATCTGGTGGCTAGCCAAATCTTACGTGGCGCAGCTGATTCAGAGTGCGATAACCAAATAATGTTTTGGACTCTCTCTCTAACTGCTGTCTGCGCACAGTTTTATTCGTCGCCCATTAAATATATTATTTGAATAATCTTCCGTGGCAGAAATAATATTTTCGGCATCCATGAAAACAGTTGATGCACGAGCAGAAACGATTCGACGACAACGTCGAGAGTGGCACTAAATGTGATGGCAGACAGACCTACATTTGCTGTATATAAAATCAGCAACTGTCCTACAAGCGAATGACAGATACGAGACTTTAATGGCGTATTGCAGAGCCTCCTTGCTCACGGCGCTTAGGCGGCATTCATGCAGGTTACGGCTCCATGTATATGAGCACCTGCAGTGCCAGATGCATCCGACAGCCTATGTTCTCTAGAGCCACCTCGTGTTCATCACGAACGATATTTTAGGAGCTCTTACTCCGGTGACGCATGCGTTACTCAAGTACCAGAGACTCTTCTGGCGAATGTGATGGATAGGAAATTCCCCAACGACTGAACGATGATATACTCCCAATCCAGTGAGGTCAAGAAAATACCTGCTGCTCGAACCATCGCGGAATTTCTCATTTGCTGACGATTGACAAGCTATTTTTGTGGTGATTCAAAAACGGCTATGACATAAGTTTGAAAGGATCCTCTGAATGAATAAGACAGGAACCAGACGCATCCGAACGAAACATCTGAGCACCAATCATCGACTTTTCGCCGGATCATCGAGCAATGT